CAGCTTGTGGGGGCTTCCTATGAGCACCCGGCAGTGGGAGCAAGGCCAGGAACCCCAGAATTTGGCTGTTGGTGATCTGTGTCTCGATGCCAGCAGGCAGAGACCCATCGTGGGGGGGATCAGAACCAGGAATCCCAATCAGATAGGCGGATAGATGAAGAGCCAGACCCTGCTGTGGGCCGGGGCTTTGTGTTGTGTCTCTAGCTCTGCTTCTCCCCTCCCACCAGGTGATCAGTCCCCCAAGGCCCAGAACTTACGGCTGAAGCTCATCCACATCAATGCTGCTGCCAAGCTGGAAATCCCCAACTACCGGGGGCCATTCCTGCCGGCAGAGATGCTGAGCCTCGCGGAGCCGGCGGGGGAGAAGGTCACCCTGCTGCAGAGCAGCCTGCGGGAGGCATTGGCGGGGGTGCTGGGCAGCCAGGACAACGGGCGCTTCGACGTACGCACCATCTATGGCTGGCAGATCGGTGAGTGCGTCCTCTCCCCGCCTCCGTGGGCAGCAGCAGGAGACCCCATCGGGCTCTGCCTGGAGGGAGTTGAACCTGAGGACTCGGGTACAGCTACCAGGCTTTAACCCACCTCATCCTTCAGCCTCAGGCCCCTCTGCTTCCTCATCGCAGCTGCCCTGCCTTGTTCCCATCTCCTCCCACAACTCTCCTCCAAAGGCAAAGCAGAAACCGCTGCCCAGGGCTTGGTTGTGGGTAGCAGATGCGGGAGGGAAGCCCTCCTCCTGCAGCCAGGCAGCGCCCAGGCTGCTTGAAAGGCTTCTGGCTCTGCCCTCCCTTCCCCTGCCGCACCCCAGGCTCCCCCTGCTCTCCTGCAGCCCTGTCAAATTCGGTCCCTGCCTCCTCCGTGGTGGGGACCGGCCAACCGGCTGCCACAGCAACTTCCGTAGTCCATGAGCCCCATGTCCCCTTCCCGTGGGATGCCAGGGGGTAAAATCATGCCACGAACACGTCTTCTGCCCGAGGAGATGCTTGGGGGGGCACAGCCCCTGCCCTATGGCGGTGCGAGGAGGATGCTGTACCCTGGCCGTGCGCACAGAGCTGCTCCGCGGCTCCGGCAAGGATGGGTTTTTTAGGAAGGGAGCAAGCGGGACCTCACGTCACCAGGGGGAGACGGTGTGAGCAGCGTCCAGGTGGGTCTAGGGAGTCCCTGTGTTCCCTCCTCTCCGTGCAGATGCCGAGATGGTGGTGAACAGCGAGAACAAACCTCTCCCCTTGAAGGACTTTGCTGCTCCCCATCTGCTCCACTCGGAAGGGAAAAAGCCGCTGCCGCCGGGTGCCAGGAGGTGGGTCTGGGCTCAGCTGTGCCCTGCCATCCAGGCAGGACTTCGTGGGGAGAGGAGGAGGAGGAGGAGGAAGGCTCTGCCTTTGTGGTGCTGAGGATTCGTGGGCTCCGCACCTCCCAGGCGCAGTGGCCAGTGGCTCGCTGCTGCGTCGCAGGGGTTGCCAGTGTGCCAAGGACACCCTGCCCAGCTGCATCCCCCCTTGTTTGGGAGCAGGAAGAGGGTGGGCACAGGACAGAAACTGGGGGTAGGGCCATGCCAGCCCCACACGGGGTAACGTTTTGCAGCCAGGGCTGCTCTGACCAGCCCAGCTGGTGGAGGCACGGCAGGGGAGGGGGCCGGATGCTGGTCGTGGTGATGGTTTTCTCTCCAAAAAGAGCCTCTGCCAGATCTGTCTGCCACGGAGCCCGGCTGTCTGCAGGGCCCTGGGGACTGAGCTGCCTCCTGCCTGCCTGGAAAAAAGGCAGCATCGCCCCACTCAGCTCGTCAGCAGGCCTGGGCTGTGGATAAATTACACTTGAGCCGCTGTCCTGGTGCTTCTCTGGTGGCTCAGAGGCAGGCTAACGTCTCCAGCAGGACAAATCCATGTCCTGCTGGCATGGGGCAATCGGCAGTGCCGCGCAGGCCTTTCTGCCGCAGCTCCCTTCGGGATCTGGGTGCTGCTGCCAGCTCTGCTGGTCTCACAGCCTCCCACCCCATGTGCATCTCCCAGGGTCGCCTTCCTCCGGTGGGAATTCCCCAATTTCAGCAACAGAAGCAAGGACCTGCTGGGCCGCTACGTCATGGCCCGGCGCCACGTCCAGGCGGCCGGCTTCCTCGTGGTGGACGTGAGTAGCTGTGGGGAAGAGAGGGATCTCTTAATTCCATGGAGACAGAGGAGCAGACACCTTCTTGGGGAGGCGGGGGGGGTACCAGCTTCCTTCTCACTCCCCTCATGTTCTTCCCGACGGCTCCCAGTGCTCCTTCCTTGCCCGTGCCGGGATTAGCTGCCATGATCCCCTCCAGGCCAGCTGGTCGGCAGCCCGAAGGCACCGGGGAGGCGGGGGGGGGGGGGGGAGCTTCCCGGAGGTAATTACAGCTCTCCTGGCAGGCAGCGAGCCCTGCGGAGCCCTGGGGTCAGCCCTGTCCTGTCTGAGCTGCCTACCAGTGGCGTGGCTCCAGGGGGGCCACATGTCACCCCAGAGCAGTGTCCTTGTCACCCCTAGCCTGGGTCGTGTCCCCCTCCCCGTTTCCCCTCAAGGACCCTGAGCTTCAGCGCTTCCCCAGCGTCCGCCCCGCTGCTCCCTGCGCCTGCTGCCGCGCTTTGAGGCTGATGCGAAGTGAGGTTTGAGGTTCACCGGCGCTGCTTTGCCCAGCCGCTTGCGTAATTTCTCCCCCCACCCTGCGCTGGCTGGCTGGGGGGGCTCGGGGGGGGGGCGGGGGGGGGGGTCTCCTGCCAGCCTGCCTTGCTCCTCCTTGGGCTCCTGCAAGGGGGAGTCCACCACCCCCCAGAAGGGGTCAGCATCACCCAGAATCACCACTGCCAGGCAGTCTTCAGGGCAGGTTGCCATGACCCAGGGGCAGGACCTTGCACTTAGCCTTCTGGAACCTCATGAGGTTCACATGGGCCAACCTCTCCAGCTTGGCCCGGTCTCTTTGGATGACATCCCATCCTTCTGGCATATTAATTGCACCCCTCAGCTTGGTGTCATCTGCAAACTTGCTGTGGGTGCGCTCAATCTTGCTGTTTGTGTCATTGATGAAAATATTAAAGAGCACCAGTCCCAGTAAAGACCTCTGAGGGACACCACTTGTCACCGGTCTCTATTTAGACATCGAGCTGTTGACCACAAATTGCCCTCTGGATGCGACCATCCAACCAATCCCTTCTCCACTGAACAGTCCACCCCTCCAATCCATACCTCTCCAATTTAGAGAGAAGGCTGTTGGGGAGACAGTGTCAAGGGATTTACAGAAGTCCAGCTAGATGACAACAGTTGCTTTTCCCTTGCCCGCTGATGCAGTCACTCCATCCTAGAAGGCCACTTGGTTGGTCAGGCAGGACATGCCCTTGGTGAAGCCATGCTGGCTGTCTGGAATCACCTCCCCAGACTCCATGTGCCTTAGCACAGCTTCTAGGAGGATCTGTTCCATGATCTTCCCAGGCACAGAGGCAAGGCTGACAGGGTGGTAGTTCCCGGGGTCCTCCTTTCGACTTTTCTTAAAGATGGGCACAATGGTTCCCTTCTTCCAGCCCCCAGGACCTGAGAGCAGCCAGGAGCCCAGGGCTGAGCAGGCCCCCTGACCCCGCAGGAGACACCCAGCCCCTCCCTGCCGGGACAGCGGGTCACAGTGGCCAGGTCCCTCTGCAGAGCCCCCCTCCCCCCCAGCAGACCCACACTCCCTCCCAGCTCGGTGTCCTCTGCAAACGGACTGGGGGCGCCCTCGATCCCCTCGTCCAGGTCATTGATAAAGATATTAAAGATACTAATGCGGTGGAGCTGCCGGCTGGAGAGCAAGTGCCGGGGCTCCTGCCCCTCTTCCCCCGCCCGCCCCCCCTCCTCCTG